TGAACCGGAATTCGAACCCACAATCATAGGTTTCTGGGGTGCCCAAGGGACGCAACTCTGCACACCGAATCACGGCGCCTTAGATGACTGGGCCACCCATGCCCCCATAGGTCCCCTGACATGTCCCCAATGGAGCATCTGTGGGATGGCTGAGTGACTTGGTTGTTGGCATGTCAACATACCCCGATAGCACTGATCCTTTCTCATAATGTTATTCAATGGATTGTCTGGTCCAGACTCAGTCACACAGACCGATGTCATATAAGTGGAATACTGCAGAGTGATGTGTTAAACATCAAACATGTTAACAACCAAAACATTATATGAGGAATATTTTGTGTCAATTACAGACCTTTGTCAGGGCATAATACACCATTCAGCTTTACATGACTTTGCTGTTATCAGAAACTGTCATAACACAAATGTTTATAAGCGAACCATATCCATTACGCAATAACTATTTCCAAACAGAACTATGCTTCACATTTACCAATTTACTACAAGCTACAAGGATCTGACCCATCACTGTCATCCGACCATCCTAACCAGCAGGGTTGACTGTGACCATTGTGAAGATGATACAGAAATAATCCATCAGTGGCAATTGACCTGCATCCCTGCCACCACTTGTACTATTGCCTTCCCAATCAATGCCATGACATTCATCTGTTTACTTATGCACATTCCCCTTTGTGCTGAACATTACCGCAATGGATCGACACACATTCAGTAAACCCAACCCAAACTGTTTGAATCAGAAAGTCATGACAACACTCGTTTCAATATATTAATTGCAAGCCGCAATACTGCACATAACTAGACGCTTTGATGAGGGACCAATTCTGAATTAATGCCCAAAACAATTAACAAAATGGTAGATAAAATATTCCTTTGAGGGTGGAGATAAGCATGGTCACGCTACCCTGGCCATGATGGAGTTGATGAGACTGATGCTTGTCCCCCGGAGCACATGAACACACCAACCCACACATACAAATGGATTCATTAATGATTAAATGGTGGACATAACTTTGGGAACAGCCTACCATTAGCTTGTGCATCTCCCACCAGGGATAACTTTACATTTACCGCTGCATTCTCTCTGCATTTAAACAAACCCTAACTGAATTAACTGTAATGAATAGCAGACTGCTGTAGATGATGCAGCAGTTTTAGTCACTACCACATATCACGCAACATGCAATGGAAACGTTTCTAGGTAGTGGTGGACGCACCTTACAAAATCCTGAAACTGATCGTAAAAATTGTGACACATCACTTCTCTAAACGCTAGTAATACACTCACTTCTTCTAGGTGTAGGAGTGTTTTGTACAGTACTGTAGTCATTTCACGGCTTAACATGGGAGGACAGCCTGAAGTGATGCAGGTCTTAGAAACCTTTGTGGATATTGACCATTGTTTTGGACGTTACTTGTCTTTTCATAATAACCTCTTAGAAGGTTTTACTTTTTCTTAGTATGGCCTCATCCCAGATGTGATGTTTTACTTTATATTAGTAAGACCATGAATGGAGTTTGACCTTTTCCTTGAAAGACCAAGAGAAGGGGTGAAGTTTGGATTCAGCATTGACAACGTCAAATGTTCGAAAATAGAAAAGAAGAAATGAAGATATGTGGTTCATTTGAAGGTACCATGATTAGGGTATATTTCCTAGCTAGATATTTTTACGAGTGTTACTTTATACATTTATACATATATTAAACAATTATCAATAAATGTTGTTTGGATGGTTCTTAAGTCAGATAAAACATTCTTCCTTGGTTTGGGTTGACATAGTAAAACCTTTGGGCCGCAGTGACATCGCTAGTAAAATGTCGCGCTAATGCTGGGTCACTGCTTCCCTCAGCTTTTACTATGTCAACCAAACTGTTGGAGTCATGTTAATCCTGTACTTAGGAACCTACAAGCACAAGAGTAGTGCCCACCAATCTAATTAAAATCAGAACTTAGCTCTCGCTACCAATCTGAGGACAGCCCATTACGGGTCACGTCAGTCCAACCTTTTGCGAAGTTTGATTGACCAATGGAATGACTGACAAGAAGTCGACATTAGCCAATCAGAAGGCAGCCTTCTCATGCTTTACAGCACTAGTTTCAAACTGGCGACTATGCTTTAAAACATATTTTGACGAATTCTCAAATATAAATTTGAAAACAGAACAAACAAACATTCTGGAATGGCTAAAAGATGGCCTATTGATTGCATGGATTCAGTCATAAAGTCCGTACACCCCGTGTTAAATCTTTCGAGGTTACAAGATCAGAAATCACATTCCGGCTGTCACTTTAATGAACTGGTTGGCGATGCTTTGATTGGTTGGATGAAAGGTCGTTCTGACGTGACCCATAATGGGATGTCCTCAGATCTTTGTTTAGTGGTAGCGAGAACTAAGATCTGATTTTTATGAGATGTCAACAACCTAAGAATCATTATAAGGGTGTACATGGAACTTATGACCACCAGAACACTGCACTGCGAACTGCAGCGCCTGCCACAACTTGGAGTGCCCCATAAACTGTCATCACAGTAATGGATGCAGGGTATTGAGTATATTCTGTATAGATCACAAACAGTCAAGTTCAAAATTTCACCTCCATTTCCCGTGCCTTGGGGAAAAAGCACATAATCCATGTCTCTGAAAGAGTCTATCAACTGTGTTAATGACTAACATCTTCCCATTTATTGTGTTACTGAAATGAGTCTACCAGTCCTACCCTGCACAAGTTGATGAGGTCGGCCTGTAAGAAAGCCCTATCAACTGGGCCATGAAGTAAGACGAGCTCACATTCCAAGACAAGATGATCGAGGCACAGGGAAGGGGAAGAGTAGCAGCACAAATGGCTTCACACAAAAAGGATGGGTTTCCTTTCCAAAATAGTTTTTTGTCATTGTTTGATTTTCAGCTTGAGTAGTCATGACAAAAGAGTTTCCTCTAAATTACCAAGTTAACCTCAATTCCTTTCAGAAAGGTTCTTTTATAGAAATGTAGTTCCTCATCCTATCACACTACAAAGAAAAACTGATTTCTGTAAAAAAAAAATGTGCAAAAACATGAGTAAGAAATGTCTGTTTCACGCATCATCCAGAATGAACATGAACTGCATCATGTACAAGAAAGGGAACACAAAGATCGATTTAGCTACATAAAACATGCATAACTGTAAACTATTATTGAAAAATGCAACCTAATATTTATATTATATATACATACACCAAGTCAATGTAAAAATATATTCAAACTTTAGTCTGACTAACCCTTACTTGTCCACACAATTGATCTTTGAACACACTCAGTACCTATAACATTTATTTACCATACTACATCATTAATCCCAGTGTTATGTGTAATTTGTCATGCTTTTGTGGGCTTGATGTCATCAAACTGTGTGTACTTCAAGATTATGCCCATGTTTCTAGTATGATTTACAGCAATGCATTATTAATTTATGTGACACTGGCAGCAGGCTAGCCTATGTTTCAACTTTGAATAACTTTTGAGACCAGGGTGCAACCTGGTTGTCTGGGGCAACTTGGTGTTCATGGAACATGCACCTGGTGCAAGTTCCTCCAATCAAGCCTGGAACTACAGAACCAATTACAAATGTCACTTCTGAAACGGTAAGCATGTGGACCAGTAGGGTTGGATGTGGTGCTTCCAGAGGGCAGGGGGTGAACAGGTGGTAGGTGTACCTGGAGGTGAGGTGTACACATATCAGTGTACGTGTTATCTACCAGGCACTAGTATACCCGTTGTCCTCCTTCAACACCCAGACATGACTACACCCAGACAGTACTAAGAAACACAAACTTGACCTATAGGAGAACAATGACATAGCTGCCAAAACCTTTGCACAAAAGTAACTTGGGAAATGTAATGTTATTGAGAAATCTAGTCTGTATCACTATTAGACTGGGAAAGTGTCGCTGTGGGGACTTCATTTTTTGTTTTACAAACAGAGTACGATAGGTACAGAAGCTCACCTTTCTTTGATGACATTGCTTTATACTGTTTCGATAAATGGCAGATATTTTGAACTGGGAAATACTAGAAACAAAACAATTGAGGATTTATTCACATGTTATCATTTACATTTGGTATTTGATTATTTCTTTGGCTATTCAAAATATTTTAACTTCCTTGGATCCAGTCTATTGGGCATTTTGTAGTCAAAGGATAGATATTTTTTCATCAATTGGTAGACATTGTTTTGGACTTGTACAATATGATCCCTTGTTTTTTCAGGTGAACAACTGATTTTTGCCTTTGCATGTATTTGTGATGGGTGCTACCGGTTGGGCAGATTATGCTCTCCCATTCGTGAACACCTGGTATCATCACTATATGACAGTGATTCATAAACACATGCTCAGGATGCAGCTAGAATCATACAATCAATTCTGCTTTTAGCAGAGATTTTGTATGAATGTAGAAAGGGTTTTGTTGCTATTATTTAAATTATTCTGCCTAAGATGAACCTTTCCGGTAACTAGTCTTCTGTTCATGTGCTACCCCAGTGTTACATAACACCACAACACAATAAGCAATAAGCATTATTCCCTGCAATGGAGTTAATGTATAGATGATGCTCGCATTCAGTAGGAAATATAGATGTTTAAAGCTGAAAAGGATACATTGAAAAATTATGTTTTTTGTTAATTTTTCATGCGAACTTGTACACAAGCAACTCCACGTTAATTGTGTTATAGTGATTTATTTTGCATATTTTAAGCAAATATCGTCTAATCAGGAGCTCTGTAGAGATTCATTATGATCAAAACAATTGAAAGTTTAGAAAATGTTCATTGTCATTTTTCAACCACAATTTTCAAAATGATACGACTACTTCGCACCTTACATTTGTAAGTTCAATTTCATATTTAAAAATGTTATTACATATATACTGTAAACGAAGGGGGCAATTGCATTACGATATCATAATTGCTGAAAAAATAAAAGACTCTGGGTGTCTATTTTACCTGGTTGATGGAATTCTGGCGCGAATTCTTTGGCTTTTAACCTGGCAATATCACAGTCCTGTTGTGCTCGATCTGCCGAACTGTCTGCTTGTTCCGCTTTTGCCCGAGCATTTGCCATTCTGAAATGGAAACGAAACAACATAAAATCTTCTCATAAAAAGATCCTCAGTAAATTCTCATTTATCTCAGCACATTCCAGTTATTTCTTCCTGGCCATATATTCTAAACAAATGCTTAGGGCATCTTTACTTAGTAGTAACTGGATTGAGGGCAAGATTGGGTCATAGGAGGCCTATTTGCACCCACCATCTTTTCATACATGATTGTGCAGAGTTGTGTCCCTTACACGTGACAGAAACCTATAACGATTGGTCCTTATTATGTTTCTAGGTTTGCTAGCACCAAGCTCATAGGTTTCACCAAAGTGGTAAATGTCTGAGACCTGCATCACTTTGAGTTTTCCTCCCACATTAAGCTGAAACATTGTAATGTAACTAGTTTAAATCCATTTTCAAAATGTTTGGTTTATAAAACAATCCACAAGAAATGTGGTTTAGCTTTAGGTTTTATTGAATCTCATTCTAAAAGCTGAGATTTAATCATTGATTCCATGTTTTCTTCATTTCTTCTATCAAATTAATACATACGTTTACATTAAGGATGCTAAAGATGTAAATTGTTTTTTATTCTCCAGCACCGACATTTATAGTGAATTTCATTTTCTGATTCTGTGAACAGGCATACTAGAGCCTTATTATGTTGAGCAAAGTGTCACTAACTGACACAGACGGGTTTGAGTAATGACCGTTTCCAACAACCAATCCTTTTAACAGGGGTAAAATTAGACGCTACGGCAATAATCTATCTATATTTGGCAGCCAGGGGCGTCATGACTCAATTAACAAGCTCAGTGGAACTAGGAATTTTTCACTATGATGAGACTGCATGCTCCATCCAAACCATCATCCGCAATGTTTTGAGGAGTGCCAGATCTTTATATAGAAAAGCTGCTATTTGTTGGAGGGGAAGTATTACCATACATCATGGCATGTAGGGTCGGGGTGGTGCAAGGTCAGCTGTACAGGATAGGAAATTTCTTCTTATTGATTTTGGTATTGCCCAAGTCTGGTTGAATGTGATGCAATATTTCTTTCTTCTGGGCTAACTTCCAAGTTTGCTCCAATACTTATTTTACACTCCTAGTTTAACAAATTTCACACTATCACGAACATATTTCTGCAACTTCATGTTGTGATATGCATTTATGAGTATAAATATTGAATATTTCCATATGTTTGGCTGATTAACGTCAATAGTTTTAAGTATAATAATGTTAACATTTTTCTGTATTCATTCTTACAAAGATGCCTATCTGGGTTTATCAGAATATAATGTAGATTACCTATACTTAAATAAAGAATGCCAGACGACTCTAAATTGTGAAAAAATGCCTTGATAGCCATCCATACAACTAACCCAACTCACTCACTCACTCACTCATGACTCCAAGGGGATTGGTTGAGAACTTAGGTCCCCAGCAACCTATGCTGGTTGTAAGAGGCGACCGACTTGTTAACTAGGCTGATTGTGTGTCATCATATCTCATTTGCGTGAAGGTCAACTCCCAAAATATACTATTAATAGAAGATATAACAATTCAAATACAATTTTTCCCAGTAATATAGATTTAAAATGTCATTGTTGCACTAACAGGATTGGGTGGTCAGACTCACTGACTTGGTTGATGCATGTCATCGTATCCCAATTGCGTGGATCGATGTTCATAACGTCAATCATTGGATTGCCTGGTCCAGAGTCGATTATTTACAGATATAGCTGGAATATTGCTGAGTGCGGTGTTAAACAACAAACAAACAAAAGAACAGCTCACAGCGAAAAAATATTTGTCATGAAAAGTCTTTGAATGTCAAATTGTTTTTAGTCTTAACTTGCAGTTTTCACAGCAACACTGTGTTGGAAGCAACTTGAAAGTGAGCACATATCACATATCACATTATTATTAAACTACACATTTATATACCGCAGCTATCCAGGTACTAGTATCTGCACAAATACGGTTTTATTTGTTCCCCAACCAGTGGATCTGTTTGCATTCCAGTTATCATTCTCAACTCCCTGGGTAGTATACAATCCAAGCTGCCCAGAGGCACATCCACCTCACATATCGGGTACCCATTCCCTGCTGGGTGAACAGAGGCACATTTGAACTAAGTCACTTGCCCAGGGTGACACCACACATGTTTACACTTGTGTTTCGGGGGTATGTGTATTCATGTTTCCACCATCTAGTCATCTACTAAAGGACGAGTGGGTTCTTTTGAGTGCACAGAGTGAATGTTCTGTAAACTAGGGGTAGTGACAACACTGTAAAGACCTGTAAACATTGTTGGTCCCAAGGCTGAATAACAACCTAGTCACTAGCGAGATATGATCTCAGCACCTGGCGCTTGCTAGCATGGCTCTTTCGACCGCTTGCCCGCCCCACCCCGCCCCGCCCCATATCACATACCACATGTTTGAAGGAAATAAAATGGTTAACTTGTTACAAAAATATGTTGCAACACTGCAACAGTGTCTTGAGGTTATGAAGTCTCCTATCATCGGAATATCTCATTCAAGTCCCTTTTCAGGTCAAACATGGAGAGTTTCTAACTGATCTGTCTCAGGATTCTCTGAATCAGAATCCACGGCGTTAATTTATTAGAAACACATTGATACAAAGCTGAGCCATGAAGTAGTGTGACAATATATAATAATGAAATATAGGGTGCACTTGATCGCTCCATATGGTGCAGAGATCAATACATGCAAGTGCTGCAACAGGTCCTGAGCTGCCCTTCACAGACCTGAACTTCACATAATTCAAAGTGAAAAGATAAATCAACTTAAATCAAAATGGACTGTTCAACATAATCTCACGATGTTTGGGTTATTTTCATAGCTTTGGTTCAAAATGATTAAATAAACTACAAAATGGAAGAACATTTTCAGTAACTGACTGAGATGACATTTGGCATTTTCCTGCACGCACGCACGCATGTATTGTGTTTCTGGTTATGTAATGTTGTATTGTCATTTTCAATCCCCCTGTTGTACGTGCATCTATATTTTCCAGATTTTTTAACTAAGGGCAGGTAACTCTAACCTGCTTTTCCCAAAACAAACATGCAGACAGCAACATGGTACACAATGCCCCTCATACCTTTTTGGGCTGACCACAGTTCGACATAACTCTACTGAACTATATGAATCACTGTGAAAAGGACATTTTAACACCAGAGACAACAACGATTTCCCTCTATGCAATTTAGCTTGCCCACAAGGAAAGGAAAAATTTAATGTAGGACTGTTAGTGTATGTTAAATCATAGGATTTACGAAGGTTGTAGAACAACGACTGTTGTCATTCTATGATAAAGTATAGCAGTTACGATGGTAGCAGGGCTGTGACTGTTGTAAGTCTATGTTAAAGTATAGCAGTCACGATGGTAGCAGGGCTGTGCGGTTGTAAGTCTATGTTAAAGTATAGCGGTTACGATGGTAGCAGGGCTGTGACTGTTGTAAGTCTATGTTAAAGTATAGCAGTTACGATGGTAGCAGGGCTGCGACTGTTGTAAGTCTATGTTAAAGTATAGCAGTTACGATGGGAGCAGGGCTGTAACTGTTGTAAGTCTATGAGTTATGAAAAGCATAGCTCTACGATCACTTTGTGTAAAGGTCGTGGTCCATAACTTCACATGAAATAACTTTGTCTTGTTACCGGCATATTAGGTCCAAATTTACTACCCAGGTACCCACCACCTTATTACCCGACCCTACCTGGGTACCCACTGTAGATATTTAGAGATACATGTAGGTACAAACTGTCTGATATGGAAAAGTTTGACCTTAGCCCTGGCAAAATGTATTTAGATACACATGTGAAACGATCCAGTCATGCATACACTGAAGTTTTATCTTTATTCAAACATATAAAAGTTAGAAGGAATGGCTGCATTGTCAGAAAGAAATGGGAACATTAGTGACGTATAGTGTAACCATAGAGTTTTAGATAATATTTGTCATTAAACAATGTATCACGTGACTAACCATGGGTCCGGGTAGTCCTGTGGGTACCCGGGTCCTAGTCAGTTCCCACCCGACCCAAGTACCCGAGTTACCAGTCCCAGCCTTACGGCATATGACATTATCTTGAAGCAGAGGTCACATCTTGCACACTCAACATATCAACTAACAAAGTCTGTACACCATAATTTATGAAATCCCCATACATAAAATCAATAAGTAGAAATAAATAGAAATCAAAAGTTGAATCAATTATGTTACAGGCATATCCATTTCGCTCCAGCCAAGCTGATATTTATGAAGTGTATTTTTACGGTCATTTCAATAGCTCAAGAAAGTCAATAGGCATTACCCAATGTAGTGTGTTTCCACATGATTGCGTGAGCTCGTTACACTGATGGTAGAAGCCACGTCGAAAGACCTGCTGACACTGCACTTTCTCGCTGTAGGGTGACATAGAGGAGGAGGAAACTGGGCACTGCACCAGTATCCTTGGGGGCGGGGAAAGAGTTCACACGAAGAACCTACAACTTGGGACTGCAAGCTTTATCCTAGTATTGATTCATTGGCATAACTGTAAAGCATTATCAATGAATGACACAGTATTTCTAGTATCAATGCTTTATCACACATGACACAAAATCCGTAGTATCGATGGCCTGTCATTGTTAATGAAACAGTATTTCTAGTATCAATGCTTCATCACACATGACACAGAATCTGTGGTATCGATGGCCTGTCATTGTTAATGAAACAGTATTTCTAGTATCAATGCTTCATCACACATGACACAGTATCTGTAGTATCGATGGCTTGTCATTGTTAATGAAACAGTATTTCTAGTATCAATGCTTCATCACACATGACACAGAATCTGTAGTATCGATGGCTTGTCATTGTTAATGAAACAGTATTTCTAGTATCAATGCTTCATCACACATGATGCAGTATCTGTAGTATCGATGGCCTGTCATTGTTAATGAAACAGTATTTCTAGTATCAATGCTTCATCACACATGATGCAGTATCTGTAG